GTTCTGCAGTGTCACACAGTGGGTGTTCTGCACTGTCACACAGTGGGTGCTCAGCAGTGTCACACAGTGGGAGCTCAGCAGTGTCACACAGTGGGTGCTCATAACCGTCACACAGTGGGTGCTCAGCACGGTCACACAGTGGGTGCTCAGCAGTGTCACACAGTGGGAGCTCAGCAGTGTCACACAGTGGTGCTCAGCAGTGTCACACAGTGGGTGCTCAGCAGTGTCACACAGTGGTGCTCAGCAGTGTCACACAGTGGGAGCTCAGCAATGTCACACAGTGGGTGCTCAGCAGTGTCACACAGTGGGTGTTCTGCACTGTCACACAGTGGGTGCTCAGTAGTGTCACTCAGTGGGTGTTCTGCACTGTCACACAGTGGGAGCTCAGCAGTGTCACACAGTGGGTGCTCAGCAGTGTCACACAGTGGGTGTTGTGCACTGTCACACAGTGGGAGCTCAGCAGAGTCACACAGTGGATGTTCAGCACCATCACATAGTAGGTGCTCAGCACTGTCACAGTGCTCAGTACTATCACACTGTGTGCTCAGTACTGTGGGGAGCAACCAGATGCACCCACAGACACTCACTTGTGCAGGGTGGGGGTCCTGGAATCTGCTCACCCTGAGGTCCAGCTCAGACCCCAGGCTCTTCCCAGCCTCCAGGGCCAGTCCCGCTGGCCCCATCTGTCTCCTCAGGGAACAGGCGTGGACAGGACAGGGAGGCACAGCCCCCACACCCTGAGCCCCCTGGCCCCCCACATGCCCCACCCACACCCCTTTCCTCATGGTCCCCTCTGGCCCCCCAGGGCCTCCTCCCTGGGCTGGGTGCAGGGAGTCAGGAGGTGGGGGTCTCCTTCCCAGCGCCCACTGCCACCTTTCAGGAGAGCACGGCCCCTTTCCCCTCTGCACCCCCTGGAGAGCCCCACTGCAGCCCACTGCCACCTTTCAGGAGAGCACGGCCCCCTTTCCCCTCTGCACCCCCTGGAGAGACCCATTGGCGCCCACTGCCACCTTTCAGGAGAGCACGGCCCCCTTTCCCCTCTGCACCCCCTGGAGAGCCCCATTGGCG